TATTCAACATTTACCTATCTACAAGCAGAAGCCAGTATTCAACATTTACCTATCTACAGGCAGAAGCCAGTATTCAACATTTACCTATTTACAAGCAGAAGCCAGTATTCAACATTTATCTATCTACAAGCAGAAGCCAGTATTCAACATTTACCTATCTACAGGCAGAAGCCAGTATTCAACATTTACCTATCTACAAGCAGAATCCAGTATTCAACATTTACCTATCTACAAGCAGAATCCAGTATTCAACATTTACCTATTTGCAAGCAGAATCCAGTATTCAACATTTGCCAATCTACAAGCAGAAGCCAGTATTCAACATTTGTCTATCTACAAGCAGAAGCCAGTATTCAACATTTACCTATCTACAAGCAGAAGCCAGTAATCAACATTTACCTATCTACAAGCAGAAGCCAGCATCCAACATTCACCTATCTACAAGCAGAAGCCGATATTCAAGATTTACCTATCTACAAGCAGAATCCAGTATTCACCATTTACCTATCTACAAGCAGAAGCCAGTATTCAACATTTACCTATCTACAAGCAGAAGCCAGTATTCAACATTTACCTATTTCCAAGCAGAAGTCAGTATTCAACATTTGTCTATCTACAAGCAGAAGCCAGTATTCAACATTCACCTATCTACAAGCAGAAGCCAGTATTCACAATTCACCTATCTACAAGCAGAAGCCAGTATTCAACATTATCTATCTACAAGCAGAAGCCAGTATTCAACATTCACCTATCTACAAGCAGAAGCCAGTATTCAACATTCACCTATCTACAAGCAGAATCCAGTATTCAACATTTACCTATCTACAAGCAGAAGCCAGTATTCAAAATTCACCTTTCTACAAGCAGAATCCAGTATTCAAAATTTATCTATCTACAAGCAGAAGCCAGTATTCAACATTCACCTATCTACAAGCAGAAGCCAGTATTCAACATTCACCTATCTACAAGCAGAATCCAGTATTCAACATTTGCCTATCTACAAGCAGAATCCAGTATTCAACATTTACCTATCTACAAGCAGAAGCCAGTATTCAACTTTTATCTCTCTACAACCAGAAGCCAGTATTTAACATTCACCTATCTACAAGCAGAATCCAGTATGCAACTTTTATCTATCTACAAGCAGAATCCAGTATTCAATATTTACCTATCTACAAGCAGAAGCCGGTATTCAACATTTACCTATCTACAAGCAGAAGCCAGTATTCAACATTTACCTATCTACAGGCAGAAGCCAGTATTCAACATTTACCTATTTACAAGCAGAAGCCAGTTTTCAACATTTATCTATCTACAAGCAGAAGCCAGTATTCAACACTTACCTATCTACATGCAGAAGCCAGTATTCAACATTTACCTATCTACAAGCAGAATCCAGTATTCAACATTTACCTATCTACAAGCATAATCCAGTATTCAACATTTACCTATTTGCAAGCAGAATCCAGTATTCAACATTTGCCAATCTACAAGCTGAAGCCAGTATTCAACATTTGTCTATCTACAAGCAGAAGCCAGTAATCAACATTTACCTATCTACAAGCAGAAGCCAGCATCCAACATTCACCTATCTACAAGCAGAAGCCGGTATTCAAGATTTACCTATCTACAAGCAGAATCCAGTATTCAACATTTACCTATCTACAAGCAGAAGCCAGTTTTCAACATTTACCTATCTACAAGCAGAAGCCAGTATTCAACTTTTATCTATCTACAAGCAGAAGCTAGTATTCAATATTTACCTATCTACAAGCAGAAGCCAGTATTCAATATTTACCTATCTACAAGCAGAATCCAGTATTCAACATTTACCTATCTACAAGCAGAAGCCAGTATTCAACATTTACCTATCTACAGGCAGAAGCCAGTATTCAACATTTACCTATTTACAAGCAGAAGCCAGTATTCAACATTTATCTATCTACAAGCAGAAGCCAGTATTCAACATTTACCTATCTACAGGCAGAAGCCAGTATTCAACATTTACCTATCTACAAGCAGAATCCAGTATTCAACATTTACCTATTTGCAAGCAGAATCCAGTATTCAACATTTGCCAATCTACAAGCAGAAGCCAGTATTCAACATTTGTCTATCTACAAGTAGAAGCCAGTATTCAACATTTACCTATCTACAAGCAGAAGCCAGTAATCAACATTTACCTATCTACAAGCAGAAGCCAGCATGCAACATTCACCTATCTACAAGCAGAAGCCGGTATTCAAGATTTACCTATCTACAAGCAGAAGTCAGTATTCAACATTTGTCTATCTACAAGCAGAAGCCAGTATTCAACATTTACCTATCTACAAGCAGAAGCCAGTATTCACAATTCACCTATCTACAAGCAGAAGCCAGTATTCAACATTCATCTATCTACAAGCAGAATCCAGTATTCAACATTCACCTATCTACAAGCAGAAGCCAGTATTCAACATTCACCTTTCTACAAGCAGAATCCAGTATTCAACATTTACCTATCTACAAGCAGAATCCAGTATTCAACATTTACCTATCTACAAGCAGAAGCCAGTATTCACCTTTTATCTATCTACAAGCAGAAGCCAGTATTCAACATTTACCTATCTACAAGCAGAAGCCGGTATTCAAGATTTACCTATCTACAAGCAGAATCCAGTATTCAATATTTACCTATCTATTAGCAGAAGCCAGTATTCATTATTTACCTATCTACAAGCAGAAGCCATTATTCAACATTTACCTATTTACAAGCAGAAGCCAGTATTCAACATTTATCTATCTACAAGCAGAAGCCAGTATTCAACATTTACCTATCTACAGGCAGAAGCCAGTATTCAACATTTACCTATCTACAAGCAGAAGCCAGTATTCAACATTTACCTATCTACAAGCAGAAGCCAGTAATCAACTTTTATCTGTCTACAAGCAGAAGCCAGTTTTCAACATTCACCTATCTACAAGCAGAAGCCAGTATTCAACATTTATCTATCTACAAGCAGAAGCCAGTATTCAACATTTACCTATCTACAAGCAGAATCCAGTATTCAACATTTACCTATCTACAAGCCGAATCCAGTATTCAACATTTAGCTATCTACAAGCAGAAGCCAGTATTCAACATTCACCTATCTACAAGCAGAAGCCAGTATTCAACATTTACCTATCTACAAGCAGAATCCAGTATTCAACATTTGCCTATCTACAAGCAGAAGCCAGTATTCAACATTCACCTATCTACAAGCAGAAGCCAGTATTCAACATTCACTTATCTGCAAGCAGAATCCAGTATTCAACATTCACCTGTTTACAAGCAGAAGCCAGTATTCAACATTCACTTATCTACAAGCAGAATCCAGTATTCAACATTCACCTATCTACAAGCAGAAGCCAGTATTCAACATTCAAGCCCATATTGTACATCTGTGATTCCAACATAGATCATGACGAATAGAGAACGCAATCATATTGAACATCAATAGGTGGCGTTCCATACACTGACGTCGTCCCATACACTGACATCGTTCCATACACTGGCTTCATTCCATACACTGGCGTCATTCAATACACTGACGTCATCCCATATACTGACGTCATTCCATACACTGACGTCATTCAATACAATGACATCATTCAATACACTGACGTCATTCAATACACTGACGTCATTCCATACACTCGTCACGATATGGCTGAAATATTGCCGATGTGACGTTAAATCTTAACTCACTTACTCACTCATTCCATACACTGGCGTCATTCAATACACTGACGTCATCCCATACACTGACGTCATTCCATACACTGGCGTCATTCAATACACTGACGTCATCCCATACACTGACGCCATTCCATACATTGGCGTCATTCAATACACTGACGTCATTCCATACACGGATGTCATCCCATACACTGACGTCATTCCATACACTGACGTCATTCCATACACTGACGTTCATAAATGCCACAGTTCAGTGTGGTTACCACACACAGGGTCAGTCCGTCACACACGTGGGATACTATAGGTTGTATGCTTCTCTCGAGGGTAATACGGTCTGATGTACGCCTCTTTGCAGCAGTGTTACCCGAACCGGTAGGCGAGCCAGTAGGCGAGGGGTAACACTGCTACAAAGAGGCGTACATCAGACCGTATTACCCGAGGGAGACGTATACAACGTATTTATCTTACCGCCATGTTAAATGTACAAAATATCATTTCATTTTATTTTGAAGATCGCCACTGACTATATGACATGTAAACAAATACACGTCTGCCTCTCGACTGGAATTTTAAACTCAGTGAAACATATTCTGACAAGCTTAAAACTGCAATAAAAATGTTTAATTATATCTAAGTTGAGTGTACAAACGATTCAATGTATAAAATAGTTTAAATAAAGCAGTGAAAGTCAGTAAAATAAATCTGTACATTGTAAAGTCAGAAACAGCTAATCAAACGACTTTAGAACTCTGGGCATTGCATGCGTCATATTATGACGTCATACGATACTACTTCTAGGCGGAGAGTTTGGCGGTTACCGTGGAAGCGGGTAATGTATTTTCCAGTTGTCACCCTCCTGGGAGGGGGTGACACGGAAACTTGATAAAACGCCATTGACCAATGAAATTAAAGTAATTTACATGAAGGTAAGATAAGATGAGCTGTCAAGCAAGTCAGCCAATCAGATCACCCGATCCCGTTAGTCACCTATTACTATAAGCAGGAGTTATCCCGAGTTGTCGCTGGCACGCCGCCTCAAGCTGTGTGTCTAATAAACATCTATACGGCAAATCATTTCGTTATAGTGACAAAATGTAACACCCTCAATGGACTTTAACTTTAGATACCAAACTTTGAATTCTGATACAATACAAGACTGGTTTTGAAATGAAAGAAAAATACACACAGATGCTCTATTTTGTTTGGATCACCATCAGTTTTGTTTACTGTCAGCTCTAAGTATGAATGTACTGACGGTTCTCCCACCTCTGTTTCCCAGACACTGGTGTAACTATAGCAACGACACATCATGAAGCAGGAACTTCAGATTGTCCTGTTTTGGTCAGGTAAGTACCAATAATTAGCGTTGGTCACTGCGTATAATTTACGATTCCACACACAAAAGACAATATACAACATACGTACAAAATATATAACAATTAACACGCATACACAATATACAACATTTAAATATATACACGATATAATACATTTATCATTTGTTCACGATATGCAACATTTCACATGCATACACAATACACAACATTTATAATATGTTCACGATATACAACATTTAACATACATACACAATATACAACATTTATCATACATACACAATATACAACATTTATCATATATACACAATATACAACATTTAAATATATACACGATATAAAACATTTATCATATGTTCACGATATACAACATTTAACATACATACACAATATACAACATTTAACATACATACACAATATACAACATTTATCATATATACACAATATACAACATTTATAATATGTTCACGATATACAACATTTAACATACATACACAATATACAACATTTATCATACATACACAATATACAACATTTATCATATATACACAATATACAACATTTATAATATGTTCACGATATACAACATTTAACATACATACACAATATACAACATTTATCATACATACACAATATACAACATTTATCATATATACACAATATACAACATTTATAATATGTTCACGATATACAACATTTAACATACATACACAATATACAACATTTATGGCTTAGTCTCTATTCGCCCACATCCCTAATTGCCCACATCCCAATTGGCCCACAAAAACATCAGAGGTTAATTAGGGTCAGACAATGCACCCCTACTCTCATAATGGGGTGTCCTGACAAGGGGGGGATTAGTCTAAAATCACATACATCTCTGAGTTACTTGACAAAGTGCTCTTGTTTCAGTGTTGTGGTAGTTATACAGGATGGAGAAGGAAACTTAGAGAAGATTTAAAGTATATTTCAATTTTGTCTAAATAAAGTAGAGAGTATTATTAATTAATGTATTTACTAATCGGAAATAACTTCTCTCTCCTTTCAATTTAGTAACTCACTGCAACCCTATAAGTATGGTAGTTTGCAAAGTATGGGCAGTCGCAATGGCTAATGGTTGTAGACAGCGAAGATGAAGACAGGATCCTGATCTTCAGTACCGCAGAGATGCTGGACATCCTCGCCAATGCAGAAACCATCTACATGGACGGAACATTTTTTGTGTGTCCCAGCCTGTGGCAACAAGTCTACATTGTGCACTGCCTTGTGGATGGACAGATGTTCCCAGTCGCCTTCTCCCTGCTGCCAAGCAAGTCTCGTGATACATACATTAGATTGTTTAACTACTTGAAGGACTCTGTGCTTGCTATTGTCGGCGTTGAACTTTCTCCCTCCGTTGTACAGACTGACTACGAAGCTGCTGCTATTGGAGCCACTGAGAGAGTCTTCCCCGATGCAGAAGTCCGTGGATGCTACTTCCACTTCACCCAGGCGGTTTGGCGGTAGGTTTCAGAGAAAGGCCTTGTGAGCACCTACAAGGACAACCGTGCCTTCAACACCCACGTGCGACGTGCTGCAGCACTCCCCCTCCTCCCAGTGGTTCAGATCCAAGATGCCTGGATGGAAGTATTGAACCAGTCTCCCGACGTTGACGGAATCGGCCAGTTCAACGACTACATCACATCTACATGGGTTGACTACGACGCAAGATTCCCACCTCGCATTTGGAATCAACATGGAAACACTGGGCCAAGAACAAACAATCACTTGGAGGGATTCCACCTTGGATTTAAGAAGCTGGTTCAGAAGCACCACCCGAACATTTACGAGTTTGTGATCACAATGAAGAAGCTCGAGACAACAAACAGAGTGGCCAGAAGACAGATTGAGCATGGAGCAGCTGTCCGCCCAAGATCCAGACTCTACAAGAACATGGACAGCCGCCTGCACAGACTGCAGTAACTTTGTTACAGAAATAAAAACAAAATGTAAATTACTTTTGTCTTCATTTGCCCACATCTCAATTCGCCCACATCTTCAAAATAGGAGAGTCCATTCTTCAGTCATAGGTATGACACAAGTTGATCATTATGTAATCCCTAACCAATATGTTGTTTTAAAACTGTGGGCGAGATGGGATGTGGGCGAATAGAGAACATGCCACATTTATCATACATACACAATATACAACATTTATCATATATACACAATATACAACATTTATAATATGTTCACGATATACAACATTTAACATACATACACAATATACAACATTTAACATACATACACAATATACAACATTTATCATATATACACAATATACAACATTTATAATATGTTCACGATATACAACATTTAACATACATACACAATATACAACATTTATCATACATACACAATATACAACATTTATCATATATACACAATATACATTTATAATATGTTCACGATATACAACATTTAACATACATACACAATATACAACATTTATCATACATACACAATATACAACATTTATCATATATACACAATATACAACATTTATAATATGTTCACGATATACAACATTTAACATACATACACAATATACAACATTTAACATACATACACAATATGCAATATTTAACATACATACACAATATACAACATTTATCATATGTACACAATATACAACATTTATCATATGTTCACGATATAAAACATTTAACATATGTTCACGATATACAACATTTAACATACATACACAATATACAACATTTATCATATGTACACAATATACAACATTTATCATATGTTCACGATATAAAACATTTAACATATGTTCACGATATACAAAATTTATCATATGTTCACGATATAAAACGTTTACCATATGTTCACGATATAAAACGTTTATCATATATACACAATATACAACATTTTACATATATACACAATATACAACTTTTATCATATCTTCACAATATACAACATTTAACATATATACAATATACAACATTTAACATACATACATAATATACAACATTTAACATATATACACAATATACAACATTTATCATATGTTCACGATATACAACACTCAAGATACATACACAATATTCAACATTTATCATATATACACAAAATTACAACATGTATACAATTCACTTTATGCAAGCATACAAGAATAATATACAACATACAGTTAACTACATACAACATTCAAGTTGAGTTCTATACAAACATAGAGCTCGAAGACCAATATTCAACCCCCTTCATAGTATTACAACGTACACACGAAGACCAATATTCAACCCCCTTCATAGTATTACAACGTACATGCACACACACATGAACATGCCCTATTTCCAATTGTTATCACACGATCTGCTCAAACTACAATAGCCGGGCGACATACCGTGGACAAACCAATGAGGACACATTAGAGAAGTTATACTGTATTTCACCACCATTGTAGTATTGTTTTGCCAAGTGCATAAAATCTCTGTTACGACACCGTCACTACCCTCTCTCCACAGATATCAACTAGAATGTATTGTCGACATGTGACAGTCCTGGGTAACACAGATATCCACTAGAATGTATTGTCAACATGTGACAGTCCTGGAATGGGTAACACAGATATCAACTAGAATGTATTGTTAACATGTGACAGTCCTGGGTAACACAGATATCCACTAGAATGTATTGTCAACATGTGACAGTCCTGGGTAACACAGATATCCACTAGAATGTATTGTCGACATGTGACAGTCCTGGGTAACACAAATATATACTAGAATGTACTGTTAACATGTGACAGTCCTGGGTAACACAGATATATGTTAGAATGTATTGTCGACATGTAACAGTCCTGGCCTGGGTAACACAGATATCCACTAGAATGTATTGTTGACATGTGACAGTCCTGGGTAACACAGATATCCACTAGAATGTACTGTTAACATGTGACAGTCCTGGGTAACACAGATATATGTTAGAATGTATTGTCGACATGTAACAGTCCTGGCCTGGGTAACACAGATATCCACTAGAATGTATTGTCAACATGTGACAGTCCTGGGTAACACAGATATCCACTAGAATGTATTGTCAACATGTGACAGTCCTGGGTAACACAGATATCAACTAGAATGTATTGTCAACATGTGACAGTCCTGGGTAACACAGATATCTACTAGAATGTATTGTCGACATGTAACAGTCCTGGCCTGGGTAACACAGATATCCACTAGAATGTATTGTTAACATGTGACAGTCTTGGGTAAGACAGATATCCACTAGAATGTATTGTTAACATGTGACAGTCCTGGGTAACACAGATATCAACTAGAATGTATTGTTAACATGTGACAGTCCTGGGTAACACAGATATCCACTAGAATGTATTGTCGACATGTGACAGTCCTGGGTAACACAGATATCCACTAGAATGTATTGTTAACATGTGACAGTCCTGGGTAACACAGATATCCACTAGAATGTATTGTTGACATGTGTCACAGTCCTGGGTAACACAGATATCCACTAGAATGTATTGTTGACATGTGACAGTCCTGGGTAACAAATGTATCCACTAGAATGTATTGTTGACATGTGACAGTCCTTGGTAACACAAATATCCACTAGAATGTATTGTCGACATATGACAGTCCTGGGTAACACAGATATCCACTAGAATGTATTGTTAACATGTGACAGTCCTGGGTAAAACAGACATCCACTAGAATGTACTCTTAACATGTGACAGTCTTGGGTAACACAGATATCCACTAGAATGTATTGTCAAAATGTGACAGTCCTGGGTAACACAGATATCTACTAGAATGTATTGTCAACATGTGACAGTCCTGGGTAACACAGATATCCACTAGAATGTATTGTCGACATACTACAGTCCTGGGTAACACAGATATCCACTAGAATGTATTGTCAACATGTGACAGTCCTGGTTAACACAGATGTCCACTAGAATGTATTGTCGACATGTGACAGTCCTGGGTAACACAGAT